AATAAAACAACCAATCCAATTTAAAAATGGGCAAAAGATCTGGACAGATACTCCGCCAAAGATATACAGATGGCAAGTAGGCATATGAAAAGATGCTCACCATCATGTGTCATTGGGGAATTGCAAGTTAAAAGAAGAAGGAAATAACACTACACACCTATTAGAAAAGCTAAAATCAGAAAATAAAAACAAAACACTAATGCTACCAACTGCTGGCAAGAATATAGAGCAAAAGGAACTCTCGTTCATTGCTGGTGGAATGCAAAATGGTACAGTCGCTTGAAAAGACAGTTTGGTAGTTTTTCACAAAGCTAAACATAGCTTTACCATAAATCCAGTAGTCACACTCCTACATGTTTACCCAACTGATTTGAAAACTTATGTCCACACACAAAAAAAGCATACAAACATTTATAGCAACTTTATTCATAATTGCCCCAAACTGTAAGCAGCTAAGATGTCCTTCAACAGGTGAATGGCTAAACCAATCGTGATACATCCATATAGTGGGATCTTATTCAATAATAAAAATAAATGAGCCATCAAGCCATCCAAAAACATGAGAGAATTTTAAATATATACTGCTAAATGAAAGAAGTTTGTCTGAAAAGACTACATACTCTGTGATTCCATTTATACGACATTCTGGAAAAAACAAAACTACAGCCATGATAAACAGATCAATTTGCTCATCACACACCATTGCACATCGCAAAGGCACCTGGAACTTAATTTGTCAAAGGTAGAACTTGCAATCTTCCCTTCCATACCTGGTGCTCTGTTGTCACCAATTCTGTGGATGGCACCTCCATTCACTCAAGGAACAAACCCAGGACTCACCTTGACACCTCCCCTCCTCTTACCTCCAACACCCAGCCTCTCACTAAGGCCCAATGACCCAGTCTCCTAAAAATCTCTCTAGTGTGCCTGCTTCACTGCATTTCTGTGTCCACTTCCCCAAACCCAGGTCCATCATCTCCTGTCTGCATGACTATGTCATAACTGGCATCCCCGAGTTCTCTCTGGCCAACCCCACTCCAACACCTTCCCCATTCATCAGCCATTGAGACACTGGGAAGGCTGTTCTGATCATGGCATCCCACCAATTAGAGCACTTTAGTGGCATCTGGTTTCCCTTGAGTTAAGAATAAAACTCTTTAGTCTCTAAAACGTCACAGATTCCAGCCACTACCATCTCTCTTGGCCAACTCACAGCACAATCCCTCTCTCCACCCTGGACTCTGGCCTCACTGGTCTTCCTTACATGTGTGTGACTTGAGTGGTGTTATCAATGTTTCTTGACCATGTCATGCTCTATCCCACCACAGGGCCTTTGTACATGCAGTTCCTTCCTCCATTATGGACCATTCCTGACAGCCTCACCACCGTCTGTCTCAGCTGTGCTCAATATTCATAGACCCAAACCCACTCTCCTGCAGGAAAATAAATTTTAAAAAGGGAAGCTATCACTGCAACACCTCCTCAGGGACTCACAATTCCCAAACAGCAGGGGTATAAGCAGGCTCCAAAATAAGGAGAACTTGGGAGTGAAATAAGAGCAGAGTGTGTGCCTGGTGGGGTTCCTGAGAACTCTCAAAAGGCCTCGCTCACTCCTCACCCGCCTCCTCTGGGTGTACTTGGGACTTGTTTTCATTAATGCCTTTTTATGGTAGCTTCAAAGATCATCACGTCAATATGTTATTTAATGTTTTTCAAAAAGCTCCCCTTTGGGGGAATATGCCAGTGACAGCGGAAAGGGACAGAGTAGCTGTTCCCCTCCCATCCGCCAACTCCCCTCTGTCTATAGTCCAGCCCATTCTGGCTGCCTCACCAGCCTGCAAGATGTCAAAGATAAACACAGCTGGCCATTAGTTACAGCAGTGAAAACAGAGTTTATTCGGTAACGACAAGGGAAAGAGCTAAACTCCATTCAGATCTGTGCAGAGGGGACCGGACATTTTATAGGAAGAAGGAGGGAGGGAGACGGGGAATGGCAGGGCTCGAGCAGAGTCAGGGAAGTGAAAAATTACAGAGTGGGAAGGGAGGCTGGTCCATGTGAAACATATCTGGGTTAGGCACCCTCCCAACCCCCTCCCCCCCTCCACGGAGGCTGGAAAACAGGGTCCTATCTTCAGGTGTCGGCTGGAACAAACTAACTTCTTTCAACAGCCTTGAGTTTTCTCAGGCAGGCTCTTTAAGTGGGGTTAGGGTCATCCTAGAGATTTGGCCTTGGGCTGTTAGAAAGTACATTAACGTTGGGGCTGGCCCCGTGGCCGAGTGGTTAAGTTCGCGCGCTCCGCTGCAGGCGGCCCAGTGGTTCGTTGGTTCGAATCCTGGGCGCGGACATGGCACTGCTCATCAAACCACGCTGAGGCAGCGTCCCCCATGCCACAACTAGAAGGACCCACAATGAAGAATATACAACTATGTACTGGGGAGCTTTGGGGAGAAAAAGGAAAAATAAAATCTTAAAAAAAAAAAAAGAAAGTACATTAATGTTTTGTTCAAGTCCTTATAGGTCAAGTTTGAGGCTGAGGAGGAGGCTCAGAGGAGCCTGACTAGAGTTTGGTCAAGGATAGAATCTTCGTCAGAGATCCGGGGCGCTTCTTCATTCGGAGCTGCCAGTTCAATTTGCTGATGATGCTTAGGATCTTGCTAAATTTCCCGTGGCATCAGCTGCCCAGGTGAGTTCTTCTTAAAAGCCTTCTCTGCGAGAGAGTCCACAGGCCGGGTTTCCCTTGTAACACAGCTCTTCATCATTTTCGTTCTCCCACAGTGCCAAGCACAACACCCAGCTCTTAGTAGGAACTTAGGAAAACGATGGTTGAATTGGACAGAACTTGAAACAGAAATTGAGCCTGTTTTTAAGGGGCGCATTGGAGCACAAAAGTAATGTGTTTATAAATCAAAAGCATTTTCTGTAGGCCCCTGGAGAGTGCAGCATTTCAAGGAAGACTTTGTAAAGTGTGGAATTGCTTTCTATTTTAAAGAGTCTTTGCTTGTAAGGCTGTTTCACACACACACACGTGCTTGCATGTGTAAATTATAGAGGTAATATATGGGTTTTGTAGAAAGAGAGAGAGAGAGGAGGAAGGGAGAAAGAAAGGAAAGGAGACAAGGAGGGAGAAACGGGCAGGTGGATGTACAAGCCAGAATTCATGCAGAGGTCCAGGCTGAGACGGAAATTTGGGAGCCATCAGCCTCTGAATGGCATGTACAGGCCACAAGTCTGATGAGGTCCCCAAGAAGGTGAGGGAGGATAAGGAAAAGAGAACCAAGGGGAGAGCCCTGCGACAACTCAAGGTTTGCAGGCTGAGGAGTCAAGAAAGACCCAGAAAAGGAGACAGAGGAGGAGGAGCCAGACAGGTCGGAGGAAACCCAGGAGAGGGTGGGATCCCGGGAGCAAATAGGAGAGAGGGCTTCAGAAAGGAGAGAGCAACTAGGCCAAATACTGATGGGTCAAGGTCATTGAAAGTCGACAGTTGGGTTCATCAATGCATAGGTACTTGGTGACCTTGACAAGAACAGCGTTGGAGGAGTGTGAGTGACTAAGATCCAGTCAGAGTGGAGTGAAAAGTAAACGGAAGGAGGGGAAACTCGAGACAGCAAGAACAGAGACCCTTTTGTTTTGTGTAAAGGGAAGCAAAGGGAGCAGGACAGGTTTGATCCTGACTTTTTTCAAATTTGGGGAGATTAGAGAATTAGAGCTGTGATTGTACATTACTGGGAATGATCCAGGGGAGATGGGAACAGTGATGATGGAGGTCAGAGGGGAAGGGATCTCAGGCACAAATGGCCTCGGATGAGGACGGAGAGTTCATGTGGTCAAAGGCTCTCAACACATGAGGAACTTTCCTGAGAGGTTCCCAATACAGGTACGCATCCTTCCAGATGTTTATCTGTGTACAAATCGGGATTATTAGAGTCGTTATCACACTGTTCACATTTTTCAGCAACCTACTTTCTTTATTCAAAAACATATCCTGGACATTCTCCAAAGTCAGAGCATAGAAGTAAAATCCAGTCATTTTAATGGCTGTTTAGTATTCAACGGTACAGATGTGCCATAACCTAGGGAACCCAGCTCCTACTGACGGACGTTTATATTTCTCGAATTTTGCTATTAGAAATAACATTGTAGTGAAGATCTTTCCATAGCTTGTATTCTAGAGTATTTCAGAATGATGGACTCCTAGAAGTTAAATTGCTGAGACCACGGGTATGTGCATTTTGAATTTTGATAGACACTGCCCAAATGTCCTGCACTGAGGTTACCCCAGTGAACATCCCACTAGCAGGACATGAGAGGAAACATAACACTGAAGGGTTGGTTTGAGTTTGGACCTTGCACAGCAGACTTCCTTAAAGTGCTTCAGCCTAAAAGTGTGTCAGAACTATAATTAATAACCACTGCCCCTCATCTGCAGGCTGCAGGTCTGCGCTCACCAGGGCTCGTCTGGGGAGCTGGAGAAGCAGAGAACTGGGACAGACAGAAGAGAGAGCAGACAACAGGGGCAGGAGCGCAGATCCGGGGAGCTGTGGGCGCTCTGGGGCAGGGAGCCGGGGCTCCAGCCTGGCGCAGCGGACGACCCCTGCGGGGCGCTGGGCAAGCGGCCCAGCCTCTCACTGCCCGGTCACAACGAAAGTGCCTGCTGTGCGGATCCAAGGAGGTCGCAAATATGAAATGAGACCATAAATGTTGGGGCAGACACAGCTGCCAACTTACACTCATCTTCCTCTTCTTCCTATTTTGTTAGGATCAACAATTTCCCCTACTTAAAAACATCACAGCCCACCGCAGGCAGTCATGTGACACAGTTCTGGCCAATGAGATGGAAACATTACGTTTCCCGCCCCTCTGCAGGCAGTCATGTGACACTGCTCTGGCCAATGAGTTGAGCAACAGCACGTTCCCGCCCCCTTGGCAGTTGGTCATGTGACACAGTTCCCACCAATGAGACGGGAGCAGCGGTTCTGCAGGGCATTCTGGGAAAGCTCCCGGAAGGGTGGGCGGCTGGCCTCACGTGGACCACCCGCTGTCGGTCCTGAAAGGGGCCCCGAGGGCAGGGGAGCCGCGCTGTGACCGCGGGGCAGGCCTCACCGAGGACGCCGAGGGAGGTGGAGGAGGAGGCCGGGCTCGCGGGCGTGTGAGAGCTGCCGGACGCCTCGGTGGGTGAGAAGAATAACCCGGACTCGTCTTCGCCTCTGCTGGGCGGGTTCTCTGCTGACTGTACGAGTGACATTGGACAGGTGACGCGGTACCAGAGGGACCCCAGGAAGCCTGGCCCAGACCCCTCCTCACCCATGGCAGCGATGCAGGGGCCCCCAGGGGGCTGGGCCTCTCTGAGCCTCCGTCTCTCGTGTGTAACTAGGGCAACAGGCTCGGGGACGCCAGCCTCGCAGGGATCAGAGGAGGATGACAGGACGTAAAGCCTTTGAGGGCTTCTGTCCTGGGACGCAGGGAGGCTGGGGGCCGTCCTGATCTCTGAATGGTCAGCAACTGACCTGGGACAACCCCCACCTGCTCTCTGGCCCTCGGTTATCTCATGTTTAAGTAGGAGAGTGGATACACCTCGCGAAGGGTGACATTGTTCAAGGGAGAGAGGGTGTCAGTGTTGATGTATCGACTTCAGGATGGCTGATGGTTCCCGCCAGGGGCGGTGAGGCCGGCAGGTGAGGGTTCGTGGAGCCCAGAAGTGGTGTGGTGAGAGTGCGTTAGATTGGGAGCCAGGAGCCCTTCGGCGGATGTTTCTGCCTGCCTGGGAAAGCCGCTGCTGCCCTGGGCCTCAGTTTCCCCCCTATAAGATGCAGGGTTTTGACTAGATGACCATGAACAGCCTCACCATCTCTGGTACTCTTGGAGTTAACTTTTCCGCTCTCTCACAGACCCGCAGGGAGGCAGGGCCGGGTGGTAGAGGCTGGAGTCAGCTCCCACTCAGGAGTGTGAAATGCCCCAGACCCTCTGAGAGAGAACTCCAGCAGGGCCCAGCTGGATATGTCTACTGAGACACCTGCCCATGCAGGGGAAGGGGTGGAGGGGGCAGGGAAGTGATGAGGGACCCCTTTTCCCAGTCACCCAGAGCAGGGTGGGCTCTGGGCGGTGCAGGCTGCCCTGCCCGGTTTGGTTAAGAGCAAGGCTCACCTTGCAGAGAGTTCACTGTGATTCAGCGGCAGCTTGGAGCAGATGGACACCCACTGGGACAAGCTCTCTCTGAGAAGACCTAGGTCATCTGCTAATGAGCCGTGTGACCTTGAGACAGTCACTTCCTCTCTCTGAGTCTCTGTTGCCGTATCTCTAAACATGATGATGTCAGACCAGGTGCTTTTGAAGATCCAGCGCTCAAATATAGGATTCTAGATTTGGAGTAGTAGTGGTTGTACTCTCATTAGGCTGTTGGGAAGATGAAATGAGATCAGATGTGCTGTGTGGGTGCTAGGCTTTTCTCCCCCATTCCTCTTGATTTCATTTCATCCATTTGCTTTGCTGGTCCCCCACCCTAAGCCCGGTGGAAGTATCTGTGGGCTATTGCCATCCAGTACCCTGGCACCCTTTTACTAGTAAAGCTGTGCCCAGAATTTCCCTCTCACCTACTCTCAGCCCATCCCAGACTTAGGCTGGGCCAACCTCACCCCCAGATTCTGGTATGGTCCCTGATTGGATTAAGCCAGTCACCCTGTTCCGGCTCACTGGCCTTCCTGATTGGTTCAGGCATAGGGTATGGCCCTTGGAGCCAATGGGAGTTGGCCCAGGAGTTTGGTTAGCTGTTGGAGAAGCTCTCTCTTATCTGCTGGACTTCAGTTGGAGTGGAAAACCATCTGGCCACCAAGAAGGGGGCCGTGGGCGTGGCTTTGCACAGGAGAGAGCCGCTAAGCGATAGAGAAGGCCCTGATGGCATCATTCGAGCCCCTGCAACAAGGTCGAACTAAAAGTCCTTCCACCCCTACTTCTACTCACACCCACCCAGCTTCTCAGTGATGTAAAACCAATAAATCCCTCTGAGCTCAAGCCAAGGTGTGCTGAGGTCCCTGTCGCAGGACGTGGAAGAGCCTGACAGCTGTACCCCAAGCATCTAGGGCTCCAGGCCGAGCCCAGCACAGAGCTCTGCTGTCCCAGCCTCTCCCCCAGGGTGCAAGTCTGGTTCGTCTCCCGCTGCCCCTTCTCCCCAGTGTCTTCCCTTCCACAGAGGAGGCTGCAGAAACCACCCCATGATGGCATCTCCTAGGGTGAGGGCACGTTCTCCCCAGACTCTGATGACCCGAGCAGCCCTGTCACTGCAAGACCTGGCGTCGCATGTGACCATGAGGGCTGCAGTGTCAGCATGGTGGGTCCAGGCACTGCCTGCCATCCTCTGGCAGAAGGTGGGTTCGAGCTGGGAAGCCACCGGGCAGATTTAAGGTGCGGGGAGAGGGGCAATCACACAGAACCCTTTAGAGTCAAGGCTCGATCTGGGAGGGGTCTTAGAAATAACCTTGTTCTGCAGATGTGCAGACTAAGCCCAGAGACGTTGAGTGACTTACTTCACGTCACACAGTGGTGTGGAGACTGAGCTGGATGGACCCAGACCCCAGATCTCCTGATTCTGAGTCCAGTTGTTGCTTTTAGTCTGCCCCAGTATCCTCCCAGGAGTACTCGTGTTTCCTCCCAGGACCCCCCAGGACCTCTCCTTCCCTTTATGAATCTTGACAGAGTGGGAGCTCAGCAGCCCCTCCCATGGAATCCTCGCTGTCTCCCAGTGTCTACACCACCCTGAACACGCGCAGTGACGCAGAAGGTCTTCTTGGGTCTTCCTCCATCGGCAGGTCCTGCAGTGTGGATTCGGGGGGCTGGGGAGGGTGGGCACCACTGCATCTGCTGCACTCTGGTTCCCAAGCCCTGCTCCTTTTCTCGGATCTTACGGACGCCCTTCTTCACCCGAGTCAGCATCTCCCCTCAGCTGCGTCCAGCGCCACAGTGAGTGGAGCTCTGCCTGCCTGCAGGACACACCCCTGCCGTGTCTGTCTTGTTGCTGGGAGGCCCGGACTGGCTTTTCTGGCCCCTGGTCTCTAATGCTGTCTTATTTCCTCTCGGCTGTGTCTGGGCCTCCCCCCAAAGCCCTCTTGTCTGTTTGGGCAGGAAAGTGTGTTGCCCACATCCTTGACTCTCCACGTCTGGTCGCCTGGATGTGGACCCACCCTCCTGCTGCCGCTGGTACTCAGAGCCCCCTCAGATGATCGGTGATGGGGCAGGGGAGGGCTGGAAGCCAGGGCCCCCATTGCCACCCCCCACCCGGCTTGTCTGGGCACCCAACTCAAGTGATCTGCGCACCTACTGTGTGCCGGGCACCGTGCCGAGAGCGTCTGCGGCCCCTCCCTGTACCCTCACAACCGCCTGTGAAGGAGGCTCATCAGCTCTGCCTTCAGACGGGGAAACTGAGGATCCGGGAGGTTAAGTCAGCGCCCCAAGGTCGCCCACCTGACCCTGAGGAGCCCTGAAGGGGACGCACGTCCCCTCCCCACTCTGCCCCGTCTGCAGAGACATGGCTTCCAGAACCCTGCAGGGAGAGCCCGCGCTGCAGCCGCTCCCAAGTCCGTCCTGGCCGCTGTTTACCTGGAATCATCCCGTGGGTCCCGCCAAGCAGATGTTAGAGATCTTCTCCTGGAACCACAGGCCGGGCCCACATGGCCGGCAGACGCCCACCCCACTCCCGAGAGGACCTTGTTTAACCAGGGTCCCCATGCGCTGCGTCTGCAAGAAGCCTGCCCAACTGCGGACTTGGCGGCCATCCCAAGAGGGCTGTCACTGAAACTGACCACAGTGGGCGAAGGGCTCTGGGGGAAGATCTCAACAGTGGGACCGCTGGCCTCAAGGCAAAACTCAAGGCCATCAGCTGTTTGGGTAAAATGCAATGATGTCCATGAAATTGTCATTAAACTCTTGCTTGCGTGAATAATTGAGCATGAGATCCACGTGCACTGACTTCCTGGGGCCTGCTCAGGAGGGAGGCTGGGGCGACCTGGGCTTCAGGTGCCGGGCTCTGAGGGAGTCCGCAAACGCCCAGGGACCGAGGGGCCAAAGCAGGTCTGCACACTTGCCAGGCCCAGGAGCTGCTCCTTTATCTCTTCTCAGGGAAGGCATTTTCTGCCCATTTCCTGCTCTGCCTGGCCCAGCAGGAAGGGCGCGGTGAGAGGAGCAGATGGGAGGAAGAGACAGAAAAGCAAGAGGCCTTGAGGGTTGGAGTTGAAGTCCCGCTAAACCCAAGGTACACGTCATGATTCTGCAGCTTGCTAGCTGTGTGACCTTTAGCAATTCACTGTACCTCTCTGAGCTTCAATTTCCTTATCTGAAAAATAAGGACCGTAACTCTCATCTTTTCAGAAATGTTGATCAATTTCTCCAGGTCCGTCCCTCCCTGCCCAGCCCACAGCCCTGATAAGTTCTCTCCCCCCTCCCACCATCACCACCAACCCTCAGCTTATTAGCAGCATTGAGGTGGACACCTGGTCCACACTGGACAAATATCAGATTTTCCCTCCCAGGAGTCTCGGTTTGGAACATGGAGACAGTCATTAAGCTGTGGAAGCCAGCTGGAAGAGCACGTGGCTCAGGGATGGAGGCCGCCATTTTGGCATGGCCTTGGTGGATGGGAAGTGAGCAGAAAGCCGGCTACAGCAGGAGGGAAAAAGATGGGTAGAGGGAGCTAGAGATGAGTCAGACTGCAGATCCAGTCAGAGACAGAGGCAGACACAGAGACAGGGAGGGGCCCTGTCAGGTGACCCAAGACCCAGGACATTGGCTGTACTTTCCACTGTGGGGTCTAAGGGGGCCCTGTGTCCTTCCACTAAACCATGTTTCTCCGTGAGCTCCTTTGTGTGGGTCTGTGAACCAGTTAGGGTTCCTCTCTGTTGCACGTGTCAGAAAACTCAACCCAAACTGACTTCAGCAAAGGGGAATCCATTGATTCGTGTCATGGAAACTTTTAGGGGTAGGGGTGGTTTCAGAAACGAAGGGGCCTCCAGCAGTGTCACTAAGACCTGGCTTCTCTACATTTCTCCTTCACACATTGTCTTCATCCTTAGGCTACCCCTAAGATCATGACAACAGCTGTAGACTGTAGGCTTCCAGGTTCACGTACCGTGGCAAAGAGCAAGAGTCTCTCTCAGAAGCCCCAGTCAAAGCCCCATTGCTTCTCGTTGGTTCCATTGGGTCTTGTGCCCTCTCTGAGCCAACTGCTATGACTAGAAAAATCCACTGCACAGATTGACTTAAGCCTTGGTGGCGCATGGCCCACCCCGAGCCATGGGAGCATCTTCAACCAGAGATGGGGAAGGGAGGACCCACAGACAAAGTCAGCACAGCCGCCATCGGAGGAGGACCACAGGCAGGCAACCGTGCCTTTGACACCCAGAGACAGGACCTCAGGGGCCAGGGAGTGGAATGTGGTCTCTGATGAAATCAGAGGACGTGCTGCTTTCTCCCCTCCTCGCCCCTGCATTGTAGGTTTCTGTACAGCTCCTGAGGCTGGGAATCCATTCTCTTCTCACCATCCGATAATGGAGCCTCTTGAGGCCCACAGCCCAGTTTCCTCCCTGCCTTTTGCACAGACCTTGCACGTGACCTTCCCTTGGTCTGGACCACCCTTCCCACATCCCGTGTCTGATCAGCGGCTGAAGTGGAGCACAGATGACTGGTTACCTGGGTTAGGACTGGAGGGAGGGGGAGGCAGAGGGAAGAGGAGAGGCGGGTGTGGTTACAAAGGCACAGCAGAGGGGAGTCCAGTGAGGATGGAACTGTCTGTATCTCGACTGGTGGTAGATACCCGAACCTACGCAGGTGACAAAATTGTATAGAACTCAGTACACGAATACCCACGAATGAGTGCAAGTGAAAACTGGGGAAATCCGAATAAGATGGGTGGATTGTGTCAGTGTCATTATCCTGGTTGATGCTGTCCTACAGTTTTACAAGATAGTACCATTGGGGGAACTGGGTAAAGGGTACACAAGATCTCTCTGTATTCTTGTTATTTTTTTAATTAAAATGTTTAAATGTTTAAATTAAATATTAATTCCCCCACGGGGATGGTGAACACTTCCCGAGCTGGGTGCTCATGGTAGGCTCCCCCTTGCCAGTGTCACTTGGTGGTGTGGGCAGGGCTCCCGTGAGATCTGGAGGAGGAAGCAGCCCACCTGGCGTGGGGGTAACAGAGAAACCATGGGCCTGGGTCTCCTCCTCCTCAGAATGCGGGTCTGAGACCCTGCCACCATATTCCTCTGGTCCTGGGGTCCCAACCCACTGGTGTCCCTCTGTCTACTTCTCAGAGAGCTCCTTTGGTCATCTCTGTGTCATTTCTAGAGCTGACACTTGTCCTTAGTGGGGAGGAGCAGAGAAATATCCCTGTATTATTTCTTATAACTTCAAATAGCTCTACAGTTATCCCCAAATAAAAAGGTTAATTTTAAAAATAAGATCAACATATGCCAGGAAAAAGCAGTAAAATTAAATCAGACTTAACTCCCCCAATTTTATGGATCATTGTGAAAATTAAGTAAATTAACATACGCAAAGGACTTAGCCCCTGCCTGGCCTGTAGGAGGGCTCCTGGTGGATATTCATTTCTTCTCTGACAATTTAGGAATGTTGTGTTCCTAAAGTGTTTTGGAACTCAGAATAGATTTTCATAAAACTCTTTTATGGCCTGGGTTAGTCAATCCTAAAGTCCTGGTTGCTTGTACCACTACTAACCGCGACAGCCACACTTGGGGAAAATGTAATCCAAACTCCAGACACAAGCTGCACTCCTCCCTCCCCAGGCCACTCCCAGGAAAGGGGAAAAACACTCTTTTGGTACCCAAAGCAGAGAGAGCAAAGCAGAGGGAGACCGGGCGCTCCAGACATAGGGGGTCGGAGTCAGGGTCGATGGAGACCAGGAGCGTGAACGCGCCTCAGATTCACGTCCCTTCACCAGTGCTCGGGGCTTCCTGTGTGCCCGGCTCTATGTGCGCCGTGTCATTAACCGTCATGGCCACTCTCTAAGGAAGGGACTGGTACTCCAGTCCCCCTGCCCCTGACCACTGCACTCACTGCCCCTCCACCCTTGGGTGTCCATCTGTGCAGCTTTTAGGGCTCTGTGAGAGAGGGTCTGCGCAAATCACTGTCCACCATATACAGATGAGGAAACTGAGGCCCAGAGAGGGGAGGCAACTTGCCCGAAGTTGCACAGCAGGAAAGTGGGGGATGCCTGTGTGCCTGACTCCTCCTCCAGGGCTCCCTCCCCTGCTGCCCACCACCCTCACCACAATACCCCTCAGAGGAAAGTACAGACTGAGGACCCCTTCTCCTGGGGGTCGGGGGCACTCTGGGCTCACAGAGAAGTCTTCATTTGCAGTATTTCCTGTCCTGGTGGCCAAGCCCCTCCTCAGTCTACACCGCATCCTCCGTTCTCCTCCTCCCCTGGGCCCTGGGGCTGTTCCTTCCTTCCTGCTCTAATTATTGCCTTTCAGGAGAGACCCAGGAGGTAAATACTTGAGACCTGCGTCTGATCATCTGATCGCTGACGGGCTCAGGCCTCCCTCGGATGCTGATGGGCCCCACTGTGGCCCCTGCAGTGACACGCCGTGAACCTCTGTCAGGCTGAACAGTGCCCAAACCTGGCACCTCCCCGTTCCCACAGAGCTGGGGCCTGTGTGGGGCCAGCATTCTACAGAGCAAGGGGGAAACCCAGGCCTCTGGTGCTGAACAGCCAAGAACAGAGTGGGTTGGTGCTGGACAAGTCAGCACGCGGCCGTAGCAGCTCCAGGCTGTGGGAGGGACATGGGCACCGTGGTCCCCTTTAGCCCTTGAGACCCAGTCGCACCCAGCCTGGCCTGGGCACCACCAGACCCGTCAAGGGACGCTATTAGGGGTTCAGGCATCTCTCAGGACCCGCTGCTGCTCACCAGGCGCTGCTCCTCTTGCGCCCCTCTGCGCTGGCTGCGGGATTCAGCTTTCCTAGGCCTGGCGCTCGACTTCCCCTCGGATTCCACTGTGGAACGACCCTCCTGCCCCAGTGCCATGCCCTGTCCTGGATGGGACCTGTCCTCTGACCTGGCCCTGTGGGACACCCCCTGAGACCAGCCTAGACGGGGCCCAGCTGGCCTGTTCCCTGCCCCTCCCTCTCCCCACCCCACACACCCTGGAAAGAAGAGCTGGGACAGACAGTGCGGGCTTGCCCCAGGCAGGGCCGGTGGACAGTGGGGCGAGTGTGCAGCTCAGGGACGGAGCTGCTGGGTCTGCATCCTGCTCTGCCGCTTACTGTCTGCGCCATTCAGGTGAGTTGCCAACCTCCTGAATCCCAGCTTCCTCAGCTGCAAAATGGGGCAAACACCTCCTTTTCCCTCCCCGGACCTCGGTTTCCCCTCTATCTACTGCAAAAGAGCCTGTGTCCACGGGCTCCTCCCTGTCTGTGTTCTCAGCCAGCACGTGAGCTCCGTGGGCCGAGACCCAGTCCTGCTCCCCGCCCTGTCCCCACGCCCAGCGCACAGTAGGCCCTCCGTCACACGTGCCACCTTAACGCCTGAGCACCGTCCGACAGCCTTGTCACTCAGCGGGTGCTCCATGGACCACCAGCAGCAGCAGCAGCGCCCGGAGCCTGCGAGAAGCGCAGCATCTCAGGGCCCACCAGCCCTCCTGGGTCTCTGGCAGGATCGGGCACCCAATCCTCACTCTACGGTGGCTGAGCACAGCTTTCCTGCCCGCACTGCAGCCCTTTCCAGAACCCCTGCCCACTCCCCCGGGACCCGCTGTGCCTTCCCCTGGCCGCCCCCTTCCATGGGGAGCATCTCCTCCCTCGTCACTGCTAGGCTGGCCCACCAACTCTGTCACAGCTGCCACCTGTGCTCCTGCTACCCAGCTGCCCCCTGCCCCCCAGGACCCCCTCGCTGGTCAGATGTCCAGCAGGGCCCAGGT